TCTAAGCATTCCACTACTATTTTTCTATAAATCTAGCTATAAATATTTGCAACTCAACATTTTTTCTACTTGTTACACATTTGTCTAAGCATTCTACAATAGACTTCTATAAAATACATTTGAATAGGATTCCCCAAATTCATGATAAAATTCTTTTTCCATTCCATTTATTCTCTGAGCTACCTCTTATATCAAATTAAAATATTAATATCACCCTTATATACACATTTAAAATAGATTTCCCCCCCTATATAAATTCCCTAAACAATCTTTCTCAATTATACAAACTCCTGGAAACCTTACAGTAAAGTTATTTGTATTTCATCAGCTTAAATCCTTAATACTTCTATACATTTCCAATCAGTACATTTATTTATTATTAGCCTTGCCTAAATCTCTAGACAGTCTTATTCAAATAATCACTCATAGGTATTTTCTAGACCAGTCTTTTATATACAATATATTCTTTTTCAGTCAGACTATCTAAAACATTTAAAATTAATCTTCCCTTAAGTATTTTTAATGTGGCTATAATTTTATTAATGTATAGAAACATATTTCTCTAGCCCAGCTTAACCAATTGAACAGAAACAAAGTTTCTCTAGGTCAGTCTTATCAAAGGTTCATAAACCAGACTCAGTTTGTTTTCATACATGCAGGGAAAGGTGGTCCCTCAGGCATGTAGGCCCCTGACCATAAAGGGCTTTAAAGGTAAGAACCAGCACCTTGAAGTGAATTTGGTACGCTACGGGCAGCCAGTGCAGTGCTTTTAGCGCAGGCTGAATGTGCTCCCACATGGGGAGGCCCAACAACAGCCTGGCCACTGCATTCTGCACCAGCTGCAGGTTCCGGATTTGGGACAAGGGCAGCCCCATGTAGAGAGCATTACAGTAATCTAATCACGAGGTGACCATCGCATGGATCGCTGTTGCCAAGTTTTTGCATTCAAGGAAGGGAACCAACTGCCTGATCAGCCGAAGGTGATAAAAGGCTGATTTTACAGTGGCTGCTACCTGGGCCTCTATCGTTAGGGAGGCATCCAAGAGCCTTCCCAAACAATTAACCAACGGTGCCCCGTCGAAGGTCGAGAGTGGAATCCCTACCCTCAGACCGCTCCGACTCACGCACGGGATCTCTGTCTTTCGTCGGATTCAATTTCAGTCGGCTCAGTCTAGGTCAACCAGCCACAGCCTGCCAACACCAGGTCCAGATCTTCCAGTCAGACTGGCTGCCCAAAAACAGATAGAACTGGGTGTCATCCGCATATTGGTGACATCCCAGCCCATGCCTCCAGGCAATCTGGGCAAGGGGCCGCATATAGATGTTAAATAACATCTCCTAGAGTTTGCCAGTCTCCAGGAGTTTCCCAACCTGGAACTGGCCATCCTACCCCCGCCCCCCCCGGCCATTGGCCAATTGCACCCCCCAGCAGGTGATTTTCACGCAGGGTTACAAAAGCATATTCCCACACGATCCAAGAACAAGGGTTTTTAGGCTTTCTCTCTGTGAAAGGCAGAACACAGTTTGAGTCCAGTGGCACCTTTCAGACTTTTCTGAGTATCTGGGACTAGTATCTGGGAGACCCAGGTTCGAATCCCCCACTCATGGTATGGAAGCTTGCTGGGTCACCTTGGGCCGCTCACCTCTTCTTAGCCTGAACCACCTTCACAGGGTCATCGTGAGGATGAAACAGAGGGAAGGACAACAACGCAAGCCGCTTCAGGTTCCCATCAGGGTGAAAGGATGGATATAAAGAAAGGAAATAAAATAAAAAACCGAGTCTCTGATCAGTCCCTTTGCACCAGAAAAGATTCTGTCATTTGTACTGACTCCACCTTTTCGAAAAATCCAGAGAATTAAGAGCCATTAATATTGACCCTTTTGAGTCTTTAAAAGGTGGAGTCTGGTGGAAAGAAACAAGCTTCTTGCAAGTAAGCAGAGGGTTAAGAAGAACGTTTGGGGGCCGGAATATTTAAAGCCCTTCAGGGACTGCTGGTGTTTCAGACACCACTGGCCGTACGTTAAATGGGAATATTATTTTATTAATAGAGGCATTCGCTAAGCATTTAAGTACAACTGAGCAACTCGTTCCTGACGCCCTGAGTTGGTGTGTTTGGGGCAGGTTTGGGGAATCCCTGGAGGTAATTTAGTGGGAGGAAGCGGCTGGCCTGACCCCAAACCCCATGCCTGGGGCAGGGGTAGACCTTCAGGCAGATGGAAAGACCGGCTCCGTAGCAGAACATCTGCTTGGCATGCAGAAGGTGCCCGGCACAATCCCTGGCATCTCCAGTAGAAAGGACCAGGCAGTAGGTGATACAAAAGACCTCAGCCTGAGACCCTGGAGAGCCAGTGCCAGTCTGAGCAGGCAATACTGAGACTGTCGGACCGAGGGTCTGATTCAGTTATCAGGCAGCTTCGTGTGTTCATGTATTATACTGGAGGGGGTACGGCTCAATGGCATCTCAATCCCTGGCATCTCCCGTTAAAAGACAAGGCAGGAGATGACGTGAAAGATCTCAGCCTGAGACCCTGGAGAGCGGCTGCCATTCTGCGAAGACAAGATTGACTTTCATGGACCGATGGTCTGACTCAGTATTAGAAAGTTAAATATATGGAACAGACATTCTTTTGCTGGTCATGTTAATCTGCAAAAAAAGCCACCCGCAAAAAGCAGGCCTTTTTTGAGTTTGAGGTGAGTTAAAAAAGGGCACGGGGGAAGGGAACTCCTGCCTCCCTTGGAACCAGTGTTCCCTCTAAAGCTGAGTTAGTGTGAGCTAGCTCAGGTCTTTAGCCTCCAGCTCACACATTGTTATCTCAGGAAGGATGGCTCCGGAGCAAACTAATTTATGCAGCAGCGAAATCGCTCGCTTACGACTATAATGCCAGTAGCTCGCAAAGTAGAATTTTTGCTCACAAGACTCCACAGCTTAGGGGGAGCATTGCTTGGAACCAACCGCAGCCCCCTCCTAAGACCCTGATGCCAGCTGGTGTCCAGGGCGAGCCCAGCAGAGGCTATAAGCGTTCGTGCGCATGTACCTGTGTGCATTTGAAGAAGTGCGGATGCGCACAGCAGCTTATACCCAGAATGAAACTTTGTTGGTGTTGCTTAGGGGGAGCATTGCTTGGAACCAACCGCAGCCCCCTCCTAAGACCCTGATGCCAGCTGATGCCCAGCAGAAGGTATAAGCGTTTGTGCGCATGCACCTGTGTGCATCTGAAGAAGTGCACATGCGCACAGCAGCTTATACCCAGAATGAAACTTTGTTGGTGTTCAAGGTGCCACTGGACTCAAACTGTACCCTCCCGGACTGCCCCCTTCCAGTGTCAAGTCTGACTAAGGATCTTTCATAGGTGCCAAAGGTGTGAATTGCTGCCCTTGGAACGATACCTGCAACAAAATATTGAACAGTGCTGCGTCATCTTGACACCTGCCCTGCTCCTTCCCCCCCTGGTGGGCTGGGTGGCAGCAGTAGTAATGTTCAGCATGGCCGGGTAAAGTAACCCAAACTGCCTGGCTGGCTCAGGTGCAGCTGTGGCCAGCGTTGTGGCTGTCATCCTTCCTGATGAAGCACGCCCTTTTCTATGAAGATAAAAACAAGAGATAGAGAAACGGGCACAGGATGTACAAGCATTGTGTCACTTGTGAACAGGGCTAAAAAAGCTCCCCAGACAGCTGTGCACAATCCTTCCCCCTTGTTGATACTGACACATCAGAATGAATAGGTTGGGTTATTATAATTATGATTGTATTAATATTTCTATGAAGATAAAAACAAGAGATGAGAAACGGGCGCAGGATGTACAAGCATTGTGTCACTTGTGAACAGGGCTAAAAAAGCTGTGCACAATCCTTCCCCCTCGTTGATACTGACACATCAGAATGAATAGGCTGGGTTATTATAATTATGATTGTATTAATACGGATCAACAGAAAAGTATTTAAGGCTTTTGTAATATTGTTCTGGGTCTTTCTGCTTAATTGCTGAAAGGCCTTTCTCTGCAGAGAAATAAAACAAGTTTCTTTCCCGATTGCTTTGTCTGATGAGTCTGCTGCTGTCCAGGGCTGAGGGGGGGGGGGGCTGATTAAACGGGCCTCATACCACATACTTGACTGCACTATGATGAAGCCTGTAGGATGAGTGTGGGTGAGCCACCCTCTCAGCCTAGCTTGCCTAAAAGGGTTCTTGGGAGGGCAAAATGGAAATGACAAGACCAGCATGCATCCCCCTGAGCTCCTTGGAGGGAGGAGGGAGTTTTTAAAGCGCTAAGGAAATAAAACTCAATTTCAAGGCCACGGCATTGTCATGGTGCTGGGGGAGGGGGCTGTGATGGGAGACCAGGATTCATGTCAGGATCAACCTGTCAGGGGATTTATTAGTGGGACGCTCCTTCTAGCAGACGGCCTCATTGAGGGCTTGGGGAGTTGCAGCTTTGCCATCCCAGGACCCTGCCGAGCCACACGGCCCCGCGGTGTGTGATGCGGTCCAGCCCCCCCCCCAAATGTTTCTCCTATGACTGCAGCTGTCTTGCACACAGGTTGTGTAAAAGCGCCGAGCACCTACAGGTCACGGGCGGTACTTTCCCAAACCACGCGACACCCGGCCGCGCACTTTGTTGTTGTTCAGTCGCACAGTCGAGTCCGACTCTCCGCGACCCCATGGACCAGCTCCCGCCAGGCCCTCCTGTCTTCCGCTGTCCTCTGAAGTTGGCTCAATTTCATGTTCGTTGCATCAATCACACTCTCTAACCATCTCATCCTTTGCCTGCTGGGTAATGGAGTCCACCAAGCCCGCTTTCCCCTTTTCTTTCAGGACAGTGGGCCCAAACGTCGCGCCGCCGTCCTCCGTGCCCGCTCCTCATTGGCTCCCGAGGCTGCCCAATCCGAGCCGGGTAACGTGGCAAAGCCTTTGTCGCAGACCTTCCGGCCGTCCTCCCCCGGCCGTCTCCTCAGATGGGATGCGCCAATCCGAGGCGCTGAGCGGGTTCGCTCCGCCCGCTTCGGGATGTGCCATTGCTGACGGGGCCCGGGGGTGGGTGGGTTGGAGGGAGGGCAGAGGGTCTTGAGGGAAGGAAAAGGGGGTGGATGCTGGCGGCGCGGCGGGCACTGTGGCCGGTCTGCCGCTGCGAGCGTAAGAAGATGAAGCTGCTGGCGGCCGCGGCCTTGCTGGGGCTGGGCGGGTCCCTCCTGCTGCTCTTTTTCCCGGCCGCGCACGCCGAGGAGCGCAAAAAGGGCCCCAAGGTCACGGACAAGGTAGGCGGGAGGAGGCTCCCCGGCCCTTCGCAGCCGAACGGCCCGGGTTGGCCGCGTGGTGTAGTGGTGATTGTGTCCGACTTAAGAGCCGGAGGCCGCGGGTTCGAGTACTGACCCCCCACCCACACACACGCCTTTCGCCATCCTCTTAAAAAAGAATGTTAACCCTGATATGCTTTTTGGCTTCTGCTTGGTGTACATTTTCCCAAAAAATAGTCTAAAGATGTCTAAGTCTCATTGGCGAATTCCTGACACACACACCCCCCAGCCTACCCGACCTCGCAGGGTTGTGGTGAGGACGAGTAAAGAAAACTGCCCTCTCTGCGTTCCTCGGAGAAGATTTACAAAAAGAGTTAATGGGGAATCTAACCTTGCCCTCGTTCCCACTGTGCTGCTGCATCACAGTCTTCTGCAGTAAACCCCACTGGGCTTACTTACTTGGAGAGAGTGAATGGGATCGAGGCCTTAAATGCAGTGTTCCCGGTGGCTGCCAAGTCACCACCGACTTACGGCAACCCCACAGGGTTTTCAAGGCAAGGGAGGGCCAGATGTGGTTTGCCATTGCCTGCCTCTGCCGTAGCGGTCCAGGACAACCTTGGCGGTCTGCCGTCCAAGTACTAACCAGCAGGGCCGGCTCCAGCTTATTTTGCACCCTAGGCGAGGATCCCTTCTGCCCCCCCCCCCCCCCCCCCCCCCCCCCCTTTCAAAAAAAAAAAAATTTTGTTAGAAGAATGAAAAACACAAAGAATCAAGAAACTCCCAGAGTACGGGGCCGGGTGCAGTTTGGTGCCCCTAAGGGCCGTCCCACTCTAGGCGATCGCCTAGTGAGTGAGCCGGCCCTGCTAACCAGGGATCTGAAGAAGCCTGCTTGTGCACAAAAGCTTCAACCCGGAATTGACATTGGCTGGTCTTAAAGCGGCCACTGGACTCCCAACTTTGTCCTGTTGCTTCAGACCAACACAGCTCCCCACCTGAATGTATCTGAAGAAGTGTGCTTGCGCACAAAATCTTATACCTTGGTTAAAGCTCTGTTGGTCTTAAAGGTGCTGCTGGACTCCCAACTTTGTTCTGTTGCCTCAGACCAACACGGCCGCCCACCTGAATCAGGGCCAGCTCTGTTGGGCTTCTGAGATGTGATAAGATTGAAATCAATGAGTTTAGACTGGAGTAACAGCAGAGAATTGTATTGTCTTTTTGGACAGTTTGGTGGCACCTGGAAATCAGTGAGTCTCTAAAAAAAGTTCACTCCCCTCTTTTCCTCCAAGGAATTCGAGGCAGTTTGCGTGGTTCTTACCTCCTTACAACAGCCCTATAAGGTCGGTTAGGGTGAGAGATAGAGACTGGCTCATTGACTTCATGGCCATGTGGTTTTTAACCCCATGCCTTATTAGTCCCAATAAAAAGCTCGTATCTGCTGGATTTTCAGCATATGGTGCTTGAAGATGAAATCCTGGTTGGGACACCATGTATCAATATAGTAATGTGAAATTGCCCTGTGCCAACTCTGACTAGTGGTCCATGTAGCTCAGTATCTGCTGCTGTGGCACATAAGGAAATCTAACAGAAACATGCTTGTCTGTCATTGAGGAATCTGCCCAAGATCTGGTTTTAACTTTAAAAAGTTGAACGTACATCTTCAGCCTGCAAACTTCTGAAACTCTGGAAATTAGGTCCTGCCAGAAAGAGGGCTGGGTTCCAGTTCTGATATAAACCTGCAAATCTGTTTCATGCTGAGACAGGCTGTTGCTATGTCTCAGTATTCTCACCGGAAAACCTTTTGCATGCTCCCCGTGAGTTGTAGGCCGTAGACAATGAAACTGCCTAATACCAAGTCAGATAAATGGGCAATCTAGTCTACTCTGACTGGCAGGGGTCCTTCCCACAATCTTCTCTTTTGAGATTTTTCTTTCTTAAAGCTGGAAAAGCTAGAGATTTATCCTAATGCCCTCTACAAAGTGATGGGAGTTTTCTTGAAAATATTAGAACTGGATTTTTTCCCTGATGTTCTAAGTACATGATCTGATTTAGCAAGTTTATTTTGATTTCTATGTAGTAGACTAATTTAAAAAGCACCCTGGTTTAATTTTATGTGCCAGTAAACCACAAAACTTGAACTGAAATACTGCATTTGGGGGGTGGGAATCAAATGTGGTTTAAATGTTATAATCCGACAAATTCAAAACTTCGTGTGGAATATATCTTTGTGGGAATAATATTTCCTGGCACTTAAAGGCAATATAGCATGTTCTTTCCTTACATTGTTCAGATTTATGGGGAAAAAATGAAGGCACTGAATACTGTTAGTGTACTAATTTTTAGCACACCCAAAGAGCTGTGCGCTATAGGCTGTCCGCTCCTCTGTTTCAACAGAATTTAACTCTTATCCATGGAGACCCCTGGCAGTGCCATCCTTACAAGAATTACACCCTTCTAAAACTGTTCCCTTTCATGAACATAGAAGGGTGTAACTCTGTTCAGGATAGCACTGTCAGATACCATACCCAGACTGAAGTAAGTTTGTCATAGAAACGGGAATGGGCTCTGCTAGGCCGTACACCTGGCCACATGTGATACATCCTCTGTTTTGCTTTCCAGGTATATTTTGATCTGCGGATCGGGGATGAAGATATGGGGCGGGTCGTCATTGGCCTCTTTGGAAAGACCGTTCCCAAGACTGTCAAGAATTTTGTTGACCTGGCGACGGGGGAGGTGAGTTGGATGCTGGAACAGAGTCCCAAACCTTTTCCGGTTGCTTCTGGGCATAAGGAAGGGAAATTGGCCTTTGGGCGTGGCTGACTGGTTCTCGCGTGAACAGAGACTGAGGTTCTACCTTCAGAATGCAAACCTCAACAGCTGTGAAAATGGGCTTCTGTCTAGTGTGTGGGAGATGTGTCTGCAGACAAAGCTGCTGTCCTAGTTTGTGAAAGAAATGTCCTCTCTGTTAAATTTGCCTCTCATTGTTGCTTTTAAGATGGCAAGAAGATAAAGAGCTGCACCAGTCACAGGAGATAAAACATAGCACCAAAGCTCATGGGGCAAAATCTTCTACCCTTTTTGAAGAACGATTGCAAGACAAAGACGAAGCCTGTTGACAAAACACGTAGGGAGTTTTTGGACATTTAACTGCGTTAACCTGATTTTGCACCATCGTCCTCAGCCTTATTTTTTTATCTGAAATGGCTACAGCCCTGTACCCCTGCAGGATGCCTTATTAGGCTCTTTGGGTCAGAAAATATGAAGTGATTTATCAGGCTTGGCTTGTGGTTATTCCATGAGGGAGTTCATTGCGTCCAGTACCTCCTTGTAGCATCCCAGCTAAAGTGCTGGGGCTCCCTAGGGGTTGATAGGAGAAAACTGAAAGCAGCCCAAATTTTGCAGGCAAAGTACCTTACACTCCTCTGCCAAGCTTAATTTCTCCCCTCCACCTTGGTCCCCTGTCCTGTGTTTGGTGCTTTTAAGCTCTTTCACTTGGAAGCGTTTCCAGAAAGACTTAACCCGGGGTGAGTTTACTACAATCCCAGCAGTTCCATTCCCTCTCTTCTCTTTTTTTCAGAAAGGGTTTGGATACAAGGACAGCAAGTTTCACCGTGTGATCAAGGACTTCATGATCCAGGGAGGAGACTTTACCCGTGGAGATGGGACGGGAGGTAAGGCGTTGGCCGATGTGTGGCCTGGGGTGGTTACTGTTAGATCTTGTCCCTGCTGCTGGGAGCTGGACAAAAGAGAGTCTGTGTGGGAACGATATTTTGCTGCAGCAGAGGACTTAACTATGTGATATGTGGGAAGCCCTGTGTTCAGAGCTCCCAGTATTCAAAAAACTTACTAGGGCCCTGGTCACACGGCAAAGTTGCCGCGGGAGAGGCATGGATGGTGGGCGGATTATCCGGGCGCGATCACACCCCATCATCTGGGAAGTGGAGCGCACCGGTGGCTTACCGCCGACAATGCGCCTTAAAAAACTAGTACCTCCAAGGGTACTAGTACCCCCCCCCCCCCCCCCCCCGCAATATCCGGCCTGTGTGTCTGGGGTCTAGGTTTTTCAATCTGCGGATTGGGGATGAAGATGTGGGGCGGGTCGTCATCGGTCTCTTTGGAAAGACCATTCCCAGGACTGTCAAGAATGTTGTTGACCTGGCCACGGGGGAGATGAGTTGGATGCTGGAACAGAGTCCCCAGCCATTTCCGGTTGCTTCTGGGCACAAAGAAGGGAAATTGGCCTTTGGGAGTGGCTGACTAGAGCGATTCGCGCGTGAGCGGAAGCTGAGGTGGTGCCTTCAGAATGCAAACTGCAACAGCTGTGAAAATGCTGTGAAAATGAATAATCTGGCAAGATGAGAGGGAGCTTTTAAGCCTTCGCCTCTTCCCATTTTCCTAACCCAAAATGGCCTTTGGAAAGCCCTGTCCCATCACAACAATGCATATGCAGTGGGGTAAAGATGATCTGGAAGCCCCGAGCTCGAATCCCCACTCTGCTGTGGAAGCTTGGTGGGTGACCTTGGGGCCAGTCACTCTCTCTTGGCCTCACCTGCCTCACAGGACTGTTGTTGTGAGCATAAAATGGAGAGGAGGATGTAAGCTACTTTAGGTCCCCATTGGGGAGAAAGGCAGGGTATGAATGAAGTCCCGTTTAACTTGTGCTGGATCCCTGATTCTGATCAGGAGTTTAGTGAAATGCTGGAAGCTACATACACAAAACTCAGTGTATCATGTAGATCTTGATGAGAACATCTCTGGAGTGTGGCCAAACAGGTGACACATGATGCTTAAGAGGCTTTGTGTTCGAAAACATCCTCCTTGCACGTGTCTGCTTGAGCCAGCAGCAAGTGGTGCAAATCTGGCAGCATGGCCAGCCCCATTGTGATTCTGAGAGGATCTCTGGATCCATTTCTCTCTTCTTTGGTCTTAAATTACTATTGCTACTCCACAGAGATGAGGATAGTGACATTTCTTCCAAGTTGGCTCTCCAAAACAGATTTCTGGGGGACAGACTCAATCCTTCTATTTTACGTCTGGTGCTCCAAAAGTCTGTTAGTGCCTGAATTTGCTTCACTTTCCCCTTTCTGTTCCCCTTTCCTTCTGTGCTGTGTGTATCGTAAATCTGAGTGTTTTGTTTAATTTGTATACCGCCTTGAATGAAGAGGCAGAGAGGCCACATTTAAATATCTAAAATGTATAAATAATCTCTTTGGTGATTATGGGAAGAGGCTGAGGAAGGTGAAGCTCTGAGGCAACTAGATCCTAGGCTCAAGGCTCTATTATGTTTAGGATTATGCTGTTTAAAATCCGCTCAGGGTCTTCTGTAGTAGCCTGGAACCTTTCTAAAATGGCCTCCTCCCTCACACTAGCCTCCCTTTATCTTTGAATCACCAGCTGCCCACGTTCATGGGAATGGGCAACATGAGTTTGTCATGAAGTGCTGGTAGCATGTAAGCTGTGTGTCCCCCGCAGATCTCTTCCTCAGATGCTGTTATAATAATATTAGATGAATTTCATGAGGTAAATTTTGTCCTGCTTTCATTAAATATTTGACTGGAAGGGCAAGACACAGGTGATGACAAAGCAACATGTTTTCTTCAATTGAATAAAATAAATTTTCAGTGCAGTAAAAGTGTTAGCTGTGGAAAGTGTCAGGTAAAATGACTCTCAACTGTGATCCAGCAATGACAACCTTTCCCCCAGGGAGTTGAATACTTTGTAACTGGACCAGTCTACAATAAATGAAAACTGAGGAGAGATTCTTGCTTCCTTTCCCTAGAACTTTTACCTCACGTTAGGAGGTTGACTGGACCAGGTTACTAAAACGCAGGTTTCTTCAGTGGTGTAGATTTCCCCGTTCACACCACAGTCTCTGGTTCTCAGAAAGTGCCCAGATTTGGTGCTTCTGGCTCATTTATCACCTAAAAATAAGCTTTTCTCCCTAAGCCTACCCAAATCCTACCTAACAGCCCAATAAAAATCCTGGCTAAACTGACGCTGTTATCCAGAACCACAAATCCCTGGCTGAGGGAATCATTCCCCCCCCCCCATCTCCATTTTTAAATGGCGGCTGGATCAACCCCTCCCACCCAGTAGCATTCTATGGACTGACTGGCTGAAAGTCACAAGGATTGGTTCAGAGCGCTGGAGGAGAGGCAGGATTTTGGTGATGGTTGCGACACCTCAAAGTATAGATTCAGGTGGGGTAGCCATTTTGGTCTGAAGCAGCAGAACAAAGCTCGAGTCCAGTGGCACCTTTAAGACCAACAAAGTTTTATTCTGGGTGTAAGCTTTTGTGTGGAGCTGCAGTGGCTCAAGTGGTTAAGACGCTGAACTGCAGGCTGTGGAAGGTCGGTAGTTCAGCAGTTCGAGACCCGGGTGCCGCATGACGGAGTGAGCTCCCGTCTCTAGTTCCAGCTCCTGCCAACCTAGCAGTTCGAAAGCAAGAGATTGCAAGTAGATAAATAGGTACCATTTCGGTGGGAAGGTAACAGTGTTCCGTGCGCCTTGGTGTTTAGTCATGCCGGCCACATGACCACGGAAACATCTTCGGACAGCACTGGCTCTTCAGCTTGAAAATGGAGATGAGCACTGCAACCCTAGAGTCGGATTTGACTGGCTTTCGAGCAAGGGAACCTTTACCTTTACCTAAGCTTTTGTGTGCATGCACACGTCTTCAGAATAAAACTTTGTTGGTCTTAAGGGTGCCACTGGACTCAAGCTTTGTTCTACCTCAGAGGAGTGTATTATAGATATGCTAAGAGGCTAACCCAATCTCAGAAGCTAAGTGAGGCAAAACTGAATTATTCAAGACGGCTTTTCTCAGCAGGCAGTAGGGTAGCACTGTTACAAAAGGCTTCACAAAGCCACTTGAAGAAGTTATCGTGGACTGTGGTGGTGGACAGTGCCGTCAAGTAACGGCTGACTTATGGCGACCCCGTGGAGTTTTCAAGTCAAGAGATGTTCAGAGGCTTCCGGTCGGGGGAAAATGGTGAATTAACGTATCCTGCGACTGATGTTCAGAGGTGGTTTGCCATTGATTGCCTCTGCATAGCGACCCTGGGCTTCCATGGAGGTCTCCCATCCAAATTTGCTCGTTGTGTAAGTGTGCATTACTTAGTGTGTCGTGTTAACACGCTTCTGCTTCAGCAGTGCTTTTTAGACTTCTGGTTGGATCTACAACCCGAATCCTATTTCATTGTTTACAGAATGTCCTATCTCGTTGATCATGTTGACTCATTCTGTGTGATCTGCCTTGGGTCCTTGTGAGAAAGGCAGACTCCAAATAATGCAGATAAATAAGTAAGTAAGTCAGTACTTGGATGAGAGACCACCAAGGAAGTCCAGGGTTGCTTCGCAGAGGCAGGCCATGGCAGACCACTTCTGAATATCTCTTGCCTTGAAACCCCATTGGGTTGCCGCAAGTCGGCTGCGCCTTGACGGCACTTTCCACCACCACAAAACTAGGCCTCTTTGCCCTGTACCCCCCTACGGGTCAATGGGACATGCCAGTGTTTTAAAAAATCTTGTCTTCTTCCCTGGTTGCCAGGTAAAAGCATCTACGGGGACCGTTTCCCTGACGAGAACTTCAAGCTCAAGCACTACGGGCCAGGCTGGGTGAGCATGGCCAATGCCGGCAAGGACACAAACGGTTCCCAGTTCTTCATCACCACCGTCAAAACCTCATGGCTGGACGGGAAGCACGTCGTCTTTGGCAAAGTCCTGGAAGGGATGGTAAGCGGGACTCCTCGGGCTTTGCGCGGCTGTCGCCAGGGTTGTAGAATGCAAACAGCACCCATCAACAATTCACAACTATATATGCTCATTAAAGTACAAAGAGGGGTTAGTGGAATAGAATGTATAGGCACGTATCCAACAGATTGCGCATAACAATTAAGCATTATTTACAAAAAGAACGTGTTCAAAACCAACAGTAGGCTCCTCTGTAATTCCATGTATAAATAGTGTCGATAGACCTCCAAACAGAACTGTGGCAGAAGACACCCACTGTGGAAAGAAGAACAGCTGTACATCTCTCCCAGGTATAAATCAAGACGTTTCAGTGATCTTCAATGGCGGCTGGTAAAATGGAGCCCGATTTCCAAAATAACATAGACACAGCTCAGTAACTACAATGGAATCCTTGGGTTCTGTTGGGTTATGAGTACTTAACCCATCCTTGTACTTTAAGGAACGTAATATACAGTTTTGAGCATATATGGTTGTGAGTTGTTGATGGTCTTCCCTTGGTGGGTTTGATCTGTGGCGGTACTTGTACGCTAAGGGTTCCCTATTGTCTTTAGGGTTGTAGAATGCGGCAAAGGTAGCTGGTGGTCCAGGGGTGGGGCAGGACCAGATCTAGTTAGCCTCCATTGGCAGAAGAGGGTCCGTCGGTGGGAAGGGTCTGTCGAGCAGCAGGCCCTTCCCGCCAATCCCCAGTACGGTCTCTTCCCAGGACGTCGTGAGAAAAGTGGAGAACACCAAAACAGACAGCAGGGACAAGCCCCTGAAAGACGTCACCATTGTCGACTCCGGGACCATTGAGGTGGAGAAGCCATTCGCCATCGCCAAAGAGTGACTCAGGCCTGTTGGAGGACCAGAGTCTAGCTACCAAGGGCTCAGGGGCCTGCGTTCGCCCGGAGGCCTCTTATCGTCAACCTCCAGCGGGTGAGCTGCTGCCATTCCCAGCCCTGGCCCTGCTCTACTGGCTGGGGGGGCTCCATTCCCGTCACAGCGACTCATTCCATCCGCTACTTTGGAGATCAAGGCCCTGATAAGCTTTGGGTGGGGGGGGGGGTGCCTTTTTTTTGGGGGGGGGGCAACATGGACCAATAAATGCGACCATTGTGTTTTTGTAGCACTGTCTGGTTTGGTTTTCTTGACGAATGAAGCACAGCTCTGAGTCCCCTCTGTGTTCTCGAGGCCACTTATGAACATACAAAGCTGCCTTATACTGAGTCAGACTGTTGGTCCCTCAAAGTCAGTATTGTCTACTCAGACTGGCAGCAGCTTTCCAGGGTCTCTGGCAGAGGCCTTTCACATCACCTATGACACCTGGTCCTTTTAGCTGGAGATGCCAGGGAATTGAACCTGGGGCCTTCTGCATGCCAAGCAGATGCTCTACCACTGAGCCACGTCCCCTCTCTTCCTGCCAAAACCAAAGTTTTGTGGACCTTTAAAACCTAATGCATGACTTGTAACTTAAGTGTTTGTGAGTCTGGTGTGTGGACTGTTAACTCTTAATGGAAAGATTCCTGGCCAGGATCACAGACAGTGGAGGTCATGGAGGTCATAAAGAGACCAGAAGTCCTTTTGCTGGGACAAACATGCATTTGGAGCTGCTTGGCATGCTGAAGGTTCCAAGTTCAATCCCCAGCATCTCCAGTTAAAAGGACGAGGCTGTAGGTGATGTGAAAGACCACTGCCCGAGACCCTGGAAAGCCACTGCCAGTCAGAGTAGACAATACCAGAAAGAGGAGAAGAAGATGATGAAGATGATTTATACCCCGTCCTTCAGTCGGACTCTCAGAGCGGCTTACAATCACCTTCCCTTCCTCTCCCCACAACAGATACCCTTTGAGGTAGGTGGGGCTGAGAGAGCTCTGAGAGAACTTGTGACTGGCTGCATGTGGAGGAGTGGGGAATCAAACCCGGTCCTCCCGATTAGAGTCCGCCACTCTTAACCACTGCACCAAACTGGCTTTCACGTGGACCAGTGATCTAATTCCATATAAGGCAGCGTTATGTGTTTATGGTTAGGCCAAATGGTTTAGTCAAGAGTAGTGTTGTCAAGCATTCTCTCTCTGCCCCCAACTGCATCAAAGAGGGAGGTGGGATTGAGACCAGTGTTTTCTCTAAAAAAATTTCCCCTACTGAGTGGAGCAGTTCACATCCTGAGTAGATTAATAACTGCTGTAATCTTCAATGGACAGTGCAAGACCCTGCGCGTCTCTGGATTGCCACTGAGCGGGGCTTCCTGTGTTAATGAGCGACTGCTCATGTGCACAGCTTACAGGGAACAGTGACTGAGAGGTCCCCTCAGTTGGGATCAGTGTCCCTTGGGCCTTTTTCCCTCCTGACAGGGTCCACATCAGTAGTAACTGGTCACTTTTGTTGCCTTAAAAGGTAAAGGTTCCCTTGCTCGAAAGCCAGTCGAATCCAACTCTAGGGTTGCGGTGCTCATCTCCGTTTCAAAGCCGAAGAGCCAGCGCTGTCCGAAGACGTTTCCGTGGTCCTGTGGCCGGCATGACTAAACACCAAGGCACACGGAACGCTGTTCCCTTCCCACTGAAGTGGTACCTGTTTATCTACTTGCAATGTCTTGCTTTCGAACTGCTAGGTTGGCAGGAGCTGGAACTAGAGACGGGAGCTCACTCCGTCATGCGGCACCTGGGTCTTGAACTGCTGAACTACTGACCTTCCACAGCCTGCAGTTTAGCGTCTTAACCACTTGAGCCACCACAGCTCCTAAGTTGCCTTAGGAAGGTTTTTTTAAGACATTGTGGTGGGATGGCTCCGCCATGTGGCAGGACTGCTTCACTGCCCCATCAGTGTGAGGACACTTCCTCCCCAGTCAGCAGGCTGTGACAGAAAGTCTTTTCTTGCCCCTCCTCTCATGTGCCACCACCCCAGGTAAAAATCGCGCCGCGCCCCCCCCCCCTGTGGTGTGGCTCAAGTGGGTAGACTCTCAACACTCTGGGTCGCACAGTGGCCAAAACCCCAGGTGCCATTATGAGGTCCACCTGCAGGGCCAGAACTCCAGAACCCCCCACTGTGGCCCCCCCAAGCTCCAAGAAGACAGAGCATCACTTGCCCCAGACAGAGTGTTCCCTCTATACCTTGTGGCTAATAGCCACTGATGGGTCTCTGCTCCATATGTTTATCCAGCCCCCTCTTGAAGCTCTTCATGCTTCTAGCCTCCACCACTTCTTGCAGCAGTGAATTCAACGTGTTCATTACTCTTTGGGCGAAGAAGGACTTCCTTTTATCTGTTCTAAGCCTACTGCTCATTAATTTCATTGACTGCTCACGAGTTCTTGTATTGTGAGAAAGGCAGGAAAAAAAGGTGCAGAGTCCTTGATAAACAACTTTATTTCTGCACAGCACAGCTCAGAGTAACCCAAGACAAATTATTAAGTACCTACAATCCATGGCACATCTGTCTTATGTCAGTTGCATGGTACCCCCCCCACCTCCAAGGAGCACCTGTGAGTACCTCCTAGCGTCATTCCCCTCCGCCATCCCTCATTGCAAACGCACAAACAAGTGTGTTGCCAAAACGCAGCCCAAAGACTGTGATGCAGGACACCCCAAACAAAGGAACACATCCCCTTTTTGGACCCATCCCCACATGCCAATTTGGGTGCCAGGTTGTGGGACTCATGCCCACCTGAACACAGACCCTCTAATGAAGAGGTGTTAACGCATCCCGAGAGCTAGGAAGTTTTCCCTTTCAGCTGCAAAGGACTCTCCATCTGGAGCAGTGCATCCATCACCAGGACGCCAGTCCACCATTCTGTCTCCATAACAGTCACAGTATATCTTGCCGGTTTGCCCCACATTCTCAACAGCGGTCTTTTGGCATCTCTTTGAATTTGTTTGTATTATTCTCTTCTAAGTCTCAGTGAGAAAGGTGAGCCGTAACTGAAGATAGTACTACCCATGAAGATAAATTCCGGGGGGCAGTCGTGTTGGTCTGAAGCAGCAGAACAAAGTTTTGAGTCCATTTGCAACTTCAGGACCAACAAAGTTTTAGTCAAGGTATAAGCTTCTGCGTGCATGCACACTTATTCAGAAGATTTTTGGCTTGCGTGCACACGAAAGCTTATAGCCAGAATTATACTTTGTTGGTCTTGTAGCTGCAAATGGACTCAAACTTTGTTCTGAAGATAGTACTAATTCTCTTCTGTAGAGTAGAAGAAGAGATTGGATTTATACCCCAACCTTCACTCAGAGTCTCAGAGCGCCTTACAAATTCCTTTCCCCCTCCCCACAACAGACACCCTGTGAGGTAGAGTGGGGCTGAGAGAGCTCTTTTAAGAATTGCTCTTTCAAGAACAGCTTTGACAGAACTATGGCTTGCCCAAGGTCATCCAGCAGCTGCAAGTGGAGGAGTGGGGAATCAAACCCAGTTCTCCTAGATTAGAATCCACACACTTAACCACTACACCAAACTGGCAGATAGTTCTTGGCTAGTTTAACCAGTGTTGTTGGGTCCTAAGAATGATCCTTAAGTGGGCAGGACCACACAGGGTGCTGACAGGGTTTGTACTGGGGGGTGTTTCCTAATGTTCCTGCTAGATGGTGGCCTCTGGTTGACAAAAGCTTATGCCCCAAGTGAATTAATTTAGACTATGATAACACGGGAACATTTAGCTTTGGCTGCAGCAGACAGGCAATGGTCAACCCCTCTCTGGAATTTCTTTTCCATGCAGCCCTTGAGAAAAGGGGAAGAATATTAAGAACATAAGAGCTGGATCAGACCAGTGAGGGTCCATCTAGTCCAGTATCCTGTCTCTCACACACACAGTGGCCAACCAGTTCCTCTGGAGGTCCAGCAACAGGGCATAGAGGCCCAGGCCTTCCCCTGATGTTGCCTCCTGACACTTGATATTCAGAGGTTGACCGCCTCTGAACATGGAAGTTCCCTTTAGTCACTATTGCTAGTAGCCACCGATAGACCTCCATTAATCTGTCTGATATCCTTTTAAAGCTGTCTACGCCTGTGGCCATCTCTACATCCTCTGGCAGCGAACTGGAAGCCCCGCTTAATAGCAGAAGCTCATACTGGCAACAGACTTGGGGGGGGGGGAAACTTGAATCACTTCCACTAACCACAGTCTTTCCAGTTCAAGTACTTTTATTGCATAGCCCTTCTGATTGAAGACACCATCTTCTCCACTACTGTAGGAAGCAGAAACGCTGCTGGCTACAGCGATTCACATGACCAAGCGCCTTAAAGGTGCTCGTCTGGAAAAGATGCTTACCCATGCGCCTTCCCCTAGAAAAGCCTGCACCTTTCTGGCAGGCGGACTCCCCATGGTACAGTTAAAAGGTTCTAAGCAATGCGCTGCACCACTCTTAACCTGATGTTATGGCTTTGAGCAGGCGGCACGGGGGTGCAGCAGGTAGAAACCGTGATGCACATAAGGACTGACAGAACTGCACTTTTGGCAAGTAGCGTGTCTCGGTCAGCCAGGGGTCACTGCAGGCTGAGCAGGCAGCACGGGGGTGCAGCACGTAGACAACGTGATGCACATAAGGACTGGCAGAACTGCACTTTTGGCAAGTAGTGTGTCTCGGTCAGCCAGGGGTCACTGCAGGCCCACCCAGCTTACCTTTAGCCCCTTTCCTGTGCAACACAGTGGGCCAGGCTTTAGTCAAAATCTGCCGGCTCTGGAACCCAGGGTGACCTGTAGCTGAAGCTGAAGGAGCAGACCCCCCCACAGTGTTTCCAAGTGGTGCTGTGCCCTCTTCCCTCTGAAAACCACAAGGTCCATTTTCCGTCTTTGCCTCTGCACTACACACGAAGCAGCCTGTATATAGCGCAAGAGTCGCATGCGCACACCTTTCTCCTGTAAAGCCGAGGGTGCAGGTGCCCAGGTTCGGTTCATCTCTTTCCTAGAACGGTCCCAAAGGAGCGGAAGGGACATCAAGGGGACGGCAGGGCCCTTGGCAGCTCCAGGCTGGGTCTTGCCGTGAACCTGGCATCCAGGCTGAAGCCCGTCTCGGGGGCATAGAGGCCCTGCAGCACTCCGCTCAGAATCACGTCGGGAAGCACATCTGGGGAAAGGAGAGGAACACGTGAACTCGTGAAGCTGCCTTATACTGAATCAGCCCCTTTGTCCGTCTTAAGACAGTATTGTCCACTCAGACCCGCAGCCGCTCTCCAAGGTCTCAGGCGGACGTCTTTCCCATCACCCACTGCCAGATCGTTTTTTTTAACTGGAGATGCCGGGGATTGAACCTGGGACCTTCTGTGTGCCAAGCTGATGCTCTGCCACTGAGCCACGGCCTCTTCCCTGGTCAAGAAGCGGTTAATGATGGCACGCAAGCCTGCCTTCTCATCTGCAGCTTGGGGAGGGATAACTGATCTGCCTTGTAGGGCTGATGTAATAATCGCTTTTTAAAGATTATCTGTACCCCCCCCTGCTCTTGAAGCTGCTCAGCAATGCTCCCTCTAAGCTGTGGAGTCTTGTGAGCAAAAACTCTACTTTGTGGGCTACCGGCATTACACTTATGAGTGAGCCACTTGGCTGCTGCATATATTAGTTTGCTCTGGAGCCACTCTTCCTGAGCCAAGACAAAAATCTGTGATCTGGAGGCTAAACAACTGTGAGCTAGCTCACACTAACTCAGCTTAGAGGGAACACTGCTGCTCGGTATTTAAAAAAACGTAACCTGGCCAATATAAAATTAGCAGCAGTAGCAATAGTCTTGCGCCAGGGGTGAAACGACCGGATGCGTGCAGCTGAAGGTTTACTCCATTTGCAGCTTGCAGGAACTGTAATTTCAACAACTGGTTAAATGGGAAGCCAGTTCCGGAGTGGGGTGGGAGAGAGGCGACTGGTCTTTCTTCCCCTGCTGAAAGTCTCCCACAAGCATCCCTTTCTGCCCCCACGCATTTCCCCTTGGCTCCAACCAAGCAGATGACAATATACAGTGTCCCTTTGCATCCTTTGCAAAAGCATCCTTTACAAAAGTCCTCCTGCCTTCTAACAAGGATAAAAGGAGTTGGAGATCTCAATTCCTATGCCATTCATGGCTGACAGAGGGAGCTTTGACTCTCCAAAGCTCATACCCTGAAACTCTTGTTGGCCTCTAAGCTCCTCACCACCAGTGGGGAAGAACATACAAGAAAGTTTTCCCCACTGAGGATGAAAGCAGCTTGGGGCAAGGATCAGTTTTCAACAGTGATGATGATGACGATCGTATAGCAGTGTGTGTGTAGTATAGCCAGGAGATCCTAAGATTGTCTGGCAGGCACAAGCTAGCTCTGTTCGCATCATGCACCACTAGGTGGCAAGCTAGACTTGTGTTTTTTTAAAGGCAAGAGACGTTTCAGAGGTAGTTTTGCTCTTGCCTGCCTCTACATCACACCCCTGGTATTCCTTGGAGGTTGCCCTTCCAAATACGAGCCAAGGCTGACCCCGCTTAGTTTTTGAGATCTGACGAGGCCAGGGAAGTAAACTCTCCAAAAGGGGGGGGGGAGTTAAATAGCATCCACTTTGGGGCTACATCCATTCAGAAAGGCAGGAAATACATACTTTAATTTAAAAAAAAAAAAATCATAGCCTCTGCAGTGGTATTCTGGTCACAAACAGATGGGGCCGGGGGAAGAGAGAGGAATCGCACAACCACACCAGCCGGCCTGCATCCTGCCCTGCTGCTCAGCAGCCTGTCATTCCACAATCGGAAGGGAACTGAAGCGCCCTCTCCCAAGCCCCTTCGATCTGTTTCCTACACACCCCATGGGCTCATTCTCCACCACAGCAAAAGCCATTAGAAACCATGAGTTCTACATCATGGAAGTGTAAAGCAGCACTTTGACTCCTCTCCAGCTCCCTGAAGGCGCAACAGAATCTGCAGCCACTGTTCCCTCTCTCCTCCCACCCTCAAATTGGCAGCCCGGAAATGGACCCTCCGGCACTCTACATCAGGGGTCCCCAACATGGTGCCCATGGGCACCCACCAAGTCTTTTTAGACAGTGGGTGGGGCCAGGTGGGCCTTTCGCCCAGCAAGGCTTCCGATTGGCTACGCACAGGGCTATTTTTGGGCAGGAACGCACAGGAACGGAGTCCTGGCTGGCTCCCGAGTTGGCCACGCCCAGCAGGAACTCATTAGCATAACAGGCCACACCCAACAGCAGGAACTCATCAGGATTGGCTACATTAGGGGTGTGTGGCCTAACATGCAAAGGAGTTCCTGCTACAAAAAAAGACCCTGGGTTTTGACAACAAACAAGGTAAACAGAATAAGAAGCAAAAGGTGGGTGTGGCTGGATAACCACACTTCTGGTAACGTGGGTGCGGCCTAATGCGCTAATGAGCTGTGCTGTCAGGGGTGTGGCCCAATATGCTAATGAGTTCCTGCTGTTGGGTGTGGCCTATTATACTAATGAGTTCGTGCTGGGCTTTTTCTACAAAAAGAACCCTGGCTACGCAGATGTGTTTTTTTTTAAGTTGCTTTACTAGCAGCGGCCACCACGGCACAGGGTTCTTCTCTATGTGAACAAAAGCAAGCTGTGGTAGCCGTTTTGTGGCTGGCTCTGCCTTCCGTGGCAGCTACTCTGTGGTGGCCAATCTGTGGTTATGCCCACCAGGCTGTGTGAGAATTCCAAGCGTGCTTGCGGGCTCAAAAACATTGGGGATCCCCGCTCTACATCCCCCCCCCAATCACCTCCCAGCCTCTTGATCGAGTAAATACGTTTCCCCCGTGGCCTTACCTTTGGAAGAGGGGAAAATGTAGGGATCCCTGCGGTAGCTGAGGACTGGCCGATGGGAGAGCAGGAAACGAGGGCTGCAAGGAGACACCGTAGGTTTTGTGTCTGAACAAGCAGGCGTGGCAAAGGGACACCCTTGCTTCCTCCAGGGATGGCTGTCCTCTACTCGAGGAGGACGGCCGCCCCACCCCGCTTGCAGAATACGGTGGGGCCCACCACCCACAGAGTTTAATACAGGGATAGAAACATTCTGTGCCATCTATTGAAGTGCTGAATTGGGGTATCTGATGCACAGTTTGCCAGGCTGACATTCCTTAAAAACTTCCTAGCCCAGGGCCAAATGTACTCATCTGCCGACACCCCTGTCCTGACCTGGATGCCCAGGCCAGACCAATCGCAACAGATCTCGGAGGCCATTTGGATGGGGGGCCACCAAGGAAGCCCAGGGTTATGACACAGAGGCAGCAAACGGCCAACCAGCTCTGAATGTCGCTTGCCTTGAAAACCCCACTAGGGGTCGGCATAAGTCAGCTATGGCTTTGGTAGTACTGTCCACCATCACCTACACGCCCATGTGTACATACACAAGTGCTATCAAGTCACAGCTGACTTATGGGACCCCAGCGAGGAGCTTCCAAGACAAGTGAGAAGCAGAGGTGGTTGGCCATGGCCTTCCTCTGCAGAGCCTTCCTTGGTGGTCCCCCATCCAAGTACTAACCCTGCTTAGCATCTCCCACGAAGGGGCCTTCAAGGCAAGTGAGAAGCAGAGGTGCTTGGCCATTGCCTTCCTCTGCAGAGCCTTCCTTGGTGGTCCCCCATCCAAACACTGACCCTGCTTAGCTTCTGAGCTCTGACGAGATCAGGCTATACCACACCCTGCCACATTCGCACCACAAGCCCGTGCCAAGCAATAATGCAGAACAAGACCAATGGTGCTCCTTTGTTTAACATGCAGAATTCTGCAATGAGTGCAGAATTGGAAGGGGGGATTTTCCCCAAAGGACTGACACAACTCTGCACATTCTTTATGAGACCACTTTCGGGGGGGGGGTTTCTTCCAGCTGCAGAGAGCACACGCCTTCCTGAAGAAGGCAGGACATTTCTGGGCCACGAAGATCCACGCTCTCTCTGGGAAAGGCCTGGGCAGCTCAAGCCACAGAGCGACCCCTTCTCACGTCCCCATTTCTGGCAGGGAGCTCCCCGGAGTCGGAGCACAGATGCCGGCTTCTGCTGCTGAATGACCAGACAGGCCACCGCCTGGACCTTGCTCTTGCTCACTGGCCCACCCCCACCCCCCTAAAAGAAGCACAGGGACAGACAGAGACTTGCCTGAGATCTTGCATGGCCAAGTCTCCCAGGGAGCTGCAAAGGAAGAACAAAAAAAAAAACCCCAGAGTGAGATGTGAATGCTTTGGCAGAGGGTTCAGAAACAAGAGACCGCTCGGTGCCCCAAACCAGCCCCGGGGCCCTTGGAAAGAAGCAGCTACAGCCCTGACCTGTAGAGTCCAGGCAAGCCAGATCTCGGAAGCTAAGCAGGGCCGACCCTGGCAGGCACTTGGAAGGGAGACCTCCAAGGAAGACCAGTGCCGGGACGCAGAGGCAGGCAAGAGCAAGCCACCTCTCTGAAACGTCTGAGCCCCACTAGGAGTCATGGTTGACTTCTAGGCAAGCACACAAAACACGCAAAACTATATATAAAAAAGAAAAAAGAAGAAGGACGAGAAAAGGAGTTTGGATTTATACCCCACCCTTCACTCGGAGTCTCAGAGCGGCTTACAAACTCCTTTCTCTTCCCCTCTCCACAACAGACACCCTGTGCGGTAGGTGGGGCTAAAGGAGCTCTTTCGAGGACTGCCCGTGAGAGAACAGCTCCGAGAGAACTTGTGACTGACCCAAGGTCACCCAGCAGCTGCATGTGGGGGACTGGGGAATCAAACCTGGTTCTCCCAGATCAGAGTCCTCGCTCTTAACCACTACACCAAAAAAAGCAGCACCAGAGACTTTGAAGATGCACTTATGGGGACTACGGGGCAACCCTTAGAAAGTAAGCAGGAAGACCTCCCCTCCCCTCCCCCCACTCTGGCTGTCAGAAGCGGGTGGGGCTTAGGCAGTCAGAGAGAACCTCCAGGAGACTGACCGGGGGCTGCAAAGTCTCTCCAGAGGGAAGCCTCCCCGTCCCCTGTTCCATTCCCGGGGAAATGCCCTCTCTGAAGAGCGCTCACCCGGCCTCGGAGTCCTGTTGGAAGTGCCAGAGTTTCAGGAAGTCCAGCAGCTCTCTGGGCAGCTCTCTGTGTGACAACACGATCCCCTGCAACGGAAAGAGGAGCCAGGCCCGGTAAGTGGGGGGGGGGGTTTTTTTTCCCGCTTGCAAGGCTCCTAGAGGACGTCGGCCTTGCCGCTCACCTGCAGGTAGGCCTCCAGGCCCTGGCGCCGCTGCTCCATCACCTTCGCCATCCAGTTGGGCAAGCGCTTGGGAGGGAAGTCGGGGACTTTGCATCGCTTCTTGATCTGGGGGGGGGGAGCACAGGAGAACCCTCTCAAAAGAGGACAACGGCTCCGGCAGAAAGAGCCACGGGGGCCGGGCCTGGGACCGGCTCTTCCTCTTTGGGGACCCTTCTTCCGCTGACTGTAGATCACACTCAGTGGTCATATCTGTAAAACAGGCATCGTCTTCTAGCACACAGAGACAAAAACTGGAGGAAAAAACGAAGCCGTTGTTCCCTCTAAGCTGAGTGAGTGTGAGCTAGCTCACAGTTTTTTAGCCTCCGGCTCACACATTTTTGTCTCCGCTCAGGAAGGATGGCTCCAGAGCAAACTAATTTATGCAGTGGCCACAACTTCACAACTTTAATGCCAGTAGCTCACAAAGTAGTATTTTTGCTCACAAGACTGCACAGCTTAGAGGGAGCATTGCCCCCATCCCACCGGGTGTGGTGCTTTCTTAAATGGTGGTCAACACAAGTCTGAGACCCGGACGCTCCCCTCGGCCTTTCTGCCATCCCCGGGGCAGAGTCAAGATGTGTCACTGCCACTAACTCCACCAACCTCTGGCGGACATAGAAAGGGGTTTCCTAAGCTGTTCCATGCGGGCTGTGGTGGGGTGCATGAGGGTGTGTGTGAGGGGAATGGTACTCAAGGGCCAGGCCTTCTCTTCTAGAGGATGTGGGCCCAGGCCGGAACTGCAATCACAGATTCTCACCCGCTTATGAAGGGCGTGGAATTCACTGTAGCGCTTCTCCAGGGTGTGCTTCCGCCCGTTGCAGAAGACATCCACCTTGAACACCTGCAACACCAAGGCACAGGTCTGTTAGACACCCCTAGCCTCCAAAGAAAGGTCTCGCACCCAGGGCTGCCAGTCAGACAGACCACCTGGCAGCAGCCCCGCATGAAAAAGGTCCACATCCTGCTGCTGCTGCTAAGAACGTAAGAAGAGCCCTGCTGGACCAGACCAGTGGTCCATCTACTCCAGCATCCTGTCTCACACAGTGGTCAGCCAGTTCCTCTGGACAGCCAGCAACAGGACATAGAGGCCAAGGCCTTCAGAAGAACACAAGGAGAGCCCTGCTGGATCAGACCAGTGGTCCATCCAGTCCAGCCTCCTGTCTCACAGAGGGGCCAACCAGTTCCTCTGGAGGCCAACAGCAGGACACAGAGCCAAAGGCCTTCCCCTCATGCTGCCTCCTGTCTCTGGGATTCAGCAGCTTAGTGCTTCTGAACGTGGCGGTTCCCCTCAATCACCACGGCTGGTAGCCATTGACAGACTTCTCCTCCACGAATCTATCTCATTCCTGTGAGTCTCTCGCTTCCTTTCCCACAATGCAGCAGCACTGCCGGGTCTCCTAACTGAAGCAAACTCCACTGGACAAAGGCCTCTTTGAACACAGACTTTGGCCGGGCTCCTCAAAGCCAGGCGTGGGGGAAGAATGCTAAATAAACGCCACTTGACGCACAGAGGAGCCAAAAGGAGACCTTTCTTTTGGGTCCTCGTAGTGTTCGTAGCTGGCGTGTGGGCCACAGAAGCCCAGCCCACTCGCCATGGTGACGCAATAGATGTTTTGGGGCCCTAAAAGGCGATTTATATGCAAAAATGAAGATGAAAATCCAATGGGATGGTTGGGCTCTTGGTCAGAACAGAGGCTTAGTTTTCCCAACGGAAGCTACTGCCTACCTATCTAATGCCCACCCTGCTCTGCCACAGAAGCACATGCCCATGTTTCCTTCCTTCCTCTGCCAAGAAACCCTACAGACTCCTCAGAGATTCAGAGCAGATATGTGCAGGGCTCTTTTTGTAGAAAAAGCCCAGCAGGAACTCATTAGCATAATAGGCCACACCCAACACTAGAAACGCATTAGCATATCCAGCCACACCCATGAGAGCACAGCTCATGCACCCCCATGTAAGGCGATTTATACGCAAACATTAAGATGAAAATCCAATGGGATGGTTGGGCTCTTGGTCGGAACAGAGGCTTAGTTTTCCCAACGGAAGCTACTGCCTACCTATCTAATGCCCACCCTGCACTGCCACAGAAGCACAGGCCCATGTTTCCTTCCAAGAAACCCTACAGAACCCTCAGAGATTCAGAGCAGATATGTGGTACAGTCCTCCCACAAGCAATGCTCCCTCTACGCTGTGGAGTCTTGTGAGCAAAAATTCTACTTTGTGAGCTATCGGCATTAAAGCTGTGAGCGAGCGATTTGGCTGCTGCATAAATTAGTTTGCTCTGGAGCCATCCTTTCCTGATCTAAGATAAAAATGTGTATGCTGAGGGCTAAAAAACTGTGAGCTAGCTCACTCTAACTCAGCTTAGAGGGAACACTGCCCACAAGCGTACCATCTTGGGACGGAACCTGATTCAAGACTTCTCCCCTGTCAACCGCTGCCCTGCAGTTAGAAAGCTAGCTCAGAAGGGCGAAGGCAGTTTTCTAACCCCTCTCCTTCCATGCACTCTTGCTTGTAACAGGGAAGAACCCATCTCCTGCCCAGTCCTGTTATGGCCAAGGCTGTGCACACACGGCACACTGGATCTGAAGGAGTGCGCATGCACACGAAATCTTATACCTTGGTTAAAGCTCTGTTGGTCTTAAAGGTGCCACTGGACTCCCAGCTTTGTTCTGTTGCTTCAGACCAACACGGCTACGTGCCTGATTGTATCTGAAGATGTGTGCACGCCAATGCTCCCTCTAAGCTGTGGAGTCTTGTGAGCAAAAATTCTACTTTGTGAGCTCCTGGCATTAAAGCTGTGAGCGAGCGATTGGCTACTGCATACATTAATTTGCTCTGGAGCCATCCTTTCTGAGCTAAGAGCCGGAGTGTGCGTGCAGGAGGCGGAGGCTAAAAAACTTTGAGGTAGCTCACAGTAACTCAGCTTAGAGGGAACACTGGACTGCACGCACACAAAAGCTTATGCCCAGAATGAAACTCTGTTGGTCTTAAAGGTGCCACTGGACTCAAGCTTGGTTCTGCTGGTTCAGACACACACAGCTTGTCCACCAGAATCTGTTCCCGTGGAATGGCTCTCCCTAAGCCGCAAGTTTAAAAAGCTGGATACAAAAATAGCCCTGTAGCCAGATCTCAGGCACAGATTCACTAGAACCCTTCTGTCTGGCGGCCATCAGCCAAGCCTTTAATGTTGAAGTGAAGGATACTTGCCGGGTGCCGCTTATTTGAAGCCCTGGAGGGGAGGAAATCTTAGGGCTGGGGATTTAGCCTCAGGGAAGGGTGAGCCGAATAAAACAACTCTCTGCTTGCAGCCAGAAACTTGCCAGTCTGGGGGGGAGTTACTCAGTGCTCCCTCCCCCATCTGTGCCACAGGGTGAGGGGAAATAGGCTCCCCTTAAAGAATCACTGAGCTGGAATGCATAATTTGGAGATCACAGGGTGTGTGTGGGGGAAATATGTTCCACTTAAAGAATCACTGGTTTGGAACCCAGCTTTAAGAAACGAACACCTTTGATTTGTACCAATTCCACGATTCCTCCACTTCTGGCGCGGAGGTCTTCCTCGCTGGAGAAAGCCAAGCTGACCCAGCCCTTCCCCGGCACCACAGGGAAGCCGGCGCCACCCACTTAACTAAACAGAAAGCAGCTGACTCTTAAGGTCCTGAGTGCGGTTCGAGATGTGTCACTAAAATGACTCTTCCTCCCTTGGAAGGAGGAGAATGATTTCATGCCCCTCGTTTACAGAGCTCCTTCCAAGTCACGCGGTCCCTTTCTGCCTTCTTGCATTTGCACGCCCCCCGCCTGTCACGGGCCAGGAAGCTGACACGGGGGATGCTCCAGTGGGTTACTCATGCTTCTTAGCATAACAAACTCCCTGACCCATGTCTCCTTGGGAGGCTGTTCAAAATAACACCGCCACTGAGCATCCCCATCAACCTTTGAAACCTTCAAAGCACTTCACACCCACCATATCCTTGGAATTCTTACACACGGCTTTGTAAGGTAGGGCAGGATGACCATTAGGTTGCAGCCAGACTTGTGTAGGGGCCGCCTAAAACCAATCCTGGCACAAGCAGCATTCACACGGGGAACTTGCCCCGTCTACTCGCTTGGTTTGTGTGCTCAGTTTGTGTGGTCTGGATTGTGCAGGGTGAGGCTGATCTGTGACAAGTCACGGATCCGTAACATCAGCCCTGCGAGGTGGTGGATCTGTAAGAATAGCACTGATTTTTTCCTTCTTCCAGATTAAAGTCACAGTTGACTTTGAAGGCAAGAGACATTCAGAGGTGGTTTGCCATTGCCTGCCTATACGTAGCAATCCTGGACTTCCTTAGGGCCAACAACAGGGCACAGAGGCCGGGGCCTTCCCCTGAGGTTGCCTCTTGGCTCTGGGATTCAGAGGATTAGTGCCTCTGAACATGGAGGTTCCCCTCAGTCACCATGGCGAGTAGCCATTGATAGACTTATCCTCCATGAATCTATCTAATCCCCTTTTAAAGCTGTTTTCCCCCGGTGACCATCACTACACCCTCCTCTGGGAGCGAATTTCACATTTTAATCACTCTCTGTGTAAAGTAATATTCCCTTCTGTCTGTCCTGAACCGACTACCCATCAGCTTCACCGGATGCCCACAAGGGTGGCTTTTCAAATCCAGCAATATAAAACTGAACTTGTGCATGTTTATAGAGTTCTGCTGCCAAACAAACTGGATAGCAGCTCAATAAAATCATTTGTGACCTGCGCCAGCCAAAAAGCCACGTCTTACACTCCCCCCCCCTACGGTTCTGCAAATTGCACAGGATACTGTAG